TATTTTTATGCAATGGTGTAGGATTTCTTACCACACCAGCTTAAAACTACCCTCTTGTCTCCTTACTTTTTTCACAATTTAATCCTACTATTTTTCCATTTTTAATGTTTTTTATTTACTTGTACAAGCTCACATCCTAGTGGCTTATAATATAGACAATTGGCTGACCTCCAATTTCAAAAAGGTTAAGAAATAAGACAAGAATCTTCGTTTGGTGTGTCTTGTCATAGATTGCACCCATGATAGGACCAATTAACAAGTTGGATATGCTCATTGCTGAGATTGTGAGACCATACAGCCACTTCTGCGCTCCAAACTCTTCGTGCATGTAGTCCCAACATGTGGGAAGGATAACACCTGAAAAGCATGAAAAGGTCAAGTGCTAATCACAGCAATCACTTAACTATATTCCATTCCTCCACTTAAGAAAAAGACAGCTATTGTTGTCCAGGTAGCCCATTTTTTAGCTGTCGCCAAACTCACCATCTTGACTCAGTCAGATGAGAGAGTAAGCCATGTAGGTCTGCTCGAGCCAAGCACTGGCAAGCAGAGCAGAGGAGTAGTGGACATCAAATTCAAATGGGCGTGAGTGTGGTCATGTGGTTATTGTGCAATTTGTGCATAGTATTTTATTTGGCAATGAATTCATTTTACTAGACTCTAGAGGGTACTGCATATGCAGTCATAAATATTAAGAAATACAAAATAAATTGTACATGCATCAAAGTGAGAATCCAATGCAGAGATCAAAGGTAGACACTTGCACTGTAGCTAGTTCATAGCCCATCAAATTACACAATGGGCAAGGAAATCTTTCAAACTTTAACATACATGTACCTATAAAGAAGAAGTTATAAAGATAATTATATCTATTAATGGGGAAAGACAGAACAGTCAAAATACATTTTTAGCGTTACATACTGATAAAATTAAAAGTTTTAATTTTATAGTAAAAAAGGCACAAATACATACAGTGCTATCTTTACTATCAAATGTGTTAATCAGCCCTGATAAGCATAAGATTGTGATTACATAATGTATATACAGTACTATAATAACTGACACCACAATAGGAATATACCACATAAAGTAGTATTATTACTATTATAGTACTAGAGTTTATTTGTTTACAAGAACTCAGGGAGAGAGTCTAGCTAGCTAATATACATGTACATGTATTATTTAAATCCTCATTTCATAATTATGTATCAGGTAATAACTTACTGGAGGATCAAAATGAGAGTCAAATATTCCTGCTGTAGCTATCCTTTCTCTGATTTTAATACTAACACATGATATTCTATTTTACAAAGAAAACAAAGGTGGAAATACATGTACTATTAACAGTAAATATACTACATCAAGAGTGGATAATTATCCACTCTTGACTACACGTATATATATGCATGCTTATATGATTCAACTGGTCTAACTATAAATGTACATGTACAAAAAAGTTAGGTACAATGTACATGTACATGGTTTAGGGCCTTCATAGTTCGTACATGAGACAACTTGTTGCCAGCAACAAAGCAACTTGTTGGCAGTTGTTGCCAAGATATATTCTTGGCAATAAGTTGGTTACAAGATCAAGTAACCACAAATGTTGCTTGGAACATGAAAGGGGCATGGCAATGGTAACAAATGATAGTTTTATTAGTGCATGCAACCCACAATAGTATAAACAGGTTTTGGTGCATGTGCTTTAAGCACATGCACTACACTGGCTTGATGGTAATGGTGTTGATCAATGACTGTGGCATATTTTAATAATGTAAAAGTTAATTATTTCACGTTGGACACATGTAATACTCACAAGTTTAAAGTTGAGTAGAGTGGGCCCAGGAT